CTGCAGGGAGGTATCCCGAAGGACAAGCCACCGGCCCCAAAGGTGGGGTAGAAGTCCAAAACGTGGTCAGAGCTCAGCTCATGAAGTAACTCCTCTGAGCCCACCCGGCACCAGGGGAAACCTGCCGCATAACAATCCCAACTGCTGCCTAGGGGGGTCTTCAATGCGTGGGAGGCTGGTCGCCTTGGCAGGTGCTGGAGGAAGCACCTGGAGATGCACTGGTGAACATCAAAGGGGCGTCAGCCGATCGGTGAATGTTCCCTCAGGACCAGGAAGGCTGGGCTGCTCTGTAGCACAGGGCAGGCTGCCAACCCTGCTCTCCACAACGGGATGCACAACATGGAGGCCTGGACGTCCACCGGCTGATTTCCCCCCTCCAGCTGCAGCTCCCTCCGCGCTTCTATTTCTCCTGCATAAACAAGCACGCTTGTGTGCATTCCCGGGCTGGACTTTGCCAGTCCCCCTTCTGGAGCAGCCGTTGGCAAAGGACGAAGTTGGCACGATAAAGAGCTGGGGCTAAGCAGAAAACGGGCTTCCGTTCCGCCACACTTCAGAGGGAATCTCCCTCCCTCCCTTCCTACACAACGATGATGGTGCAGAAGCCACCTCTTCTTGGCCTCTGGCCAGGCCAATTTTTAAAGAATGACCCAAGGAGCAAATCGGAGAGGTTTTGCTTTGTTTCTAACCAGCCTAAGACATTTCGTTCCCGGGTAGAAGAAAAGGCCGCGCAGCCAACTTTTCTCATACCAGCTCGAGTTACCTGTGACCCGCCGGAGCGCTTTAGCTCTCGGATGGTGTGGCAAAGCCAAGCAACCGTTGTGTCTCCCATTCCCATCCCTCCCCCAACAGTTTTCCAGCCCTTGTAAGAGTTCAGAGCACTTCAAATGCATTATCGGATTATCTTCACGATAACCCTGGAAAGGGTGAGATGGGCTCTTTGCCCAAGACCCACCATCTGCTGAGTTCATGGCAGGGATAAGATTTGAACCCAGGACTTCCCCATCCTTGCCATGAGGCCTAATTAATTAGCGTCCGTGGTTAAATTCCAGTATGGCTCCAACTGTGTTTCCTATTCTGTGCAGTGTGGTGCAGTGGTTGGATATTGGACGGGGACTCAGGAGTCCAAGGTTCGAGTCCTCGCTCAACCATGAATCTCAGTGGGGCATTTTGGGTCAGCCACCAACTCCCAATCTGACCTACCTTGCAGGGTTGGTGTGAGGATAAGATGAAAAGGAGGCTGATGTTAGGCACCCTGCATTCTTCACAGCAAAACACTCAGGATAGAAACGTAATAAGCAGGCAAACAATTTTCCTGCACGAGGCAGAAAATAACAGCCACTCAGCTATAACCGAGTTGTAGATTACGCAAAGCTAGCCAAGATATCTTGGCACACGAGGTTGAAAATCCTACAGACACTTCCTCCTCCACACCCCGTTCCTGGCAGTAAAAGGGTAATCACCACCAAATAAATTTACAAGTTCCTACCATTTATGACACCCCCAAAATCTACTGTTTGCAGTTGTTTTGCTTCTTCTAATAGATTGGCCCGCTCTGAATCCATAAATAGAGTTTATAAATAGTATTCCTTTGCATAAATAGTATTGCTTTTTAACGTACAGAAAAAGGCAATTGACACGATCCGGGGGCTGGAGCATGAGAAACAGTTGCAACGGCTGGGATTGTTCAGCTGAGAAAAACAGTGAGTAAGAGGGGACAATAAAGGTATAAAATTAGGCATGGTGTGAAAATTCTGATTGGATTGCAGCTGCTCTGGTTTTATTGGTTATTGTTTCAGTGTTTATATGTGCTTCCTGACTTTTATATGTTTAATTTTTAACCTTTGTTCGCCATCCCTTGATTATGGGGCTGTATAAAATTGAAATAAATAAAGTGGATGCGCAGGTATTGGAGGGGGGAACTTGGGGGCAGACTAAAGGAAGCATTTCACACAGCAATGGGGTTTCTGTCTGTGAGATGTTGGGATAGCCACCGAGTTGGGTGGATTTAAAAGGGGACTGAATAAATTCATGGGGAGAAGGCAATCCATGCGACTAGTCCTGATGGCTGCATGCATCAGAGGCAGCACACTAGGGCACGCCAGTCACTGCGGAACATGGGTGCTGTTGCACTCAGGGACTACTTGAGGAATCCTGCAAGCAGCTGATAGTCCACTGTGTGAACAGACACATGGACTAGGTGATCCCTCGGTCTCCACCCGCAGGGCTCTTTGGATGTCCTTACAGTACCATCTTCCATATATCGAATCCTTCTTTTTCTATGGACCCCCCATAACCACACCTCTCTGGGTGGATTACAACAATCCATAAAACAAGATGATAAAAGACAATACAAAATAAGTAAAATGCAAATAAGGTAAAATGTAATTAAATGTTGTAAAATCAGAGATGCATTAAAAAACAGCTAAAAGGACAAAGAATGACCATGCAAAGACATCTGGGATAGGTCATTCCATCAAGCCCCTGGGTATCGGAGCCTGTCCTTCATGGCCTCAGCATAAAGGGATGCCATAACCCAGCACTGAATTTTGTGACCTTTCCTTTATTGTAGCTGAGGTCATAGCCCTTACTGTTTACACCCTGTGAACCCTGTTTGGAAAGCTTCCTGGATGAAATGGGATGGAAAGGGAACTTCCCTCAAGCTGCAGTTCTTTCGCGAGCCTCCAGAGGTGCCTGGTTGTTTTGGGACCGCTTTCTCCTGCTGCTTTTGCACAAGCCCTTGTCTTACTACGGCCCTCTCCAACACGGGGCCTCTGAGTGGGAAGGTCCTGCAACAGCAGGGGGTTGGACCTGATGGCCTTCACAGCCCCTTCAAACTCCACTATCTATGATCCTAAGCTTCCCAATCTCTTGGCTAGGTGTGATGGGACCCGCAGTTCAAAACCTGGAAGGCTTCTGGCTGGAGAATCCTGCCCTGATGTATCCCTGTTTCTGTGAGAAAACCATGCAAAAAGGAAGGAGATCAAACAATATGACAAGTCCCAGAAGGACCACGAGAAGTGACCAGGTCCCCACGGAGAAGCTAGGAAGGAGTTCCATCCCGGCTCTTCTCTGGGCGCTGCTTCCTCCGTTCACCCCAGTCCAGTGGGCTCGGGGGCGTCAGTTCTCTCTTACACTTGACCAGCACTGGAGCAGAGGGCAAGAATCATGCAACTTCCTTGATTAATTCATTTATGTTTACTCCTTTAAGTAGAAGATTGACAGAGCCTTGTTTTGGTTTAGCTAATGGGAAAGCTTAAGTTTGGCTAATGAGAAAGCGGTGGCTGGGCCGATGGAAAACAGAAGGGGACGAAGCGCCACCGTGGGGAAACGGGCCGGTCTGGGGAACACAGAATGCCCTGCTTGCCCTCTCGTGAAAGAGCTTTCCCCTTGCTCAGTTTCATGAGCAGGTAAATCATCGACAGGTTTGTGTTTTTCGCACCGGCACAAATGCACACAGGCATGGAGGTTCTCCGGGTGGCCTGCTCAATTCGGAATGGACTGCTCTGCAGAGGGACTGTGCATTGTAGGGGATTCTGGGTAATATATAACAGCATGAATCCAGGGAGTCTTTACCCCAGGGCGTTGACAGGGCACCCTGGTTCCTCACGGCATGGTGAGAAGATTGTGAGTTGGGCTGCAACCAGAGCGAGTTTTGCTCCTTAAAAACAAGGGAACAACAAGCCCCAAATATACAATTCTGTAGGGGGACAGTGGAGAATCCTCTAGCCCCGCCAAAGGATTTGAATTTGTTAACGAAATCCCCAAAGAAACAGCAACATGACCACCCAACCCCCTCATTTCTCAACAAAAAAGTGTGGAGAGGAAAATTTCTAAAGAGCCTCAGGCTGGCCTGCAGACAGGGAAAAAGCAGGCAGGTTTAAATGAACAAGCTGACTTAATGCAAACAGGGGAATGCTTAGAGGGACTTAAAAATGGATTTAAAAAGTTATATTTTTCTTACCTTCAATCCTTTTTTAGCATCTTCATCTCTCCCTCCCTCCCTCCGTCCCTCTCTCTCTTCAACCCCCCTCTCTTCTGTTTCCCGCTCTGTATTCCCACTCTGTATATGCGCGCAATGGGGGTGTGGGGTAGCTGGCACAGGCACAGTTGAGCTGTTACAATTTGACGCGTGCACCAGCTCTCTGCTCAGTTTCCGAGAATGCCTGCGCCAGCTCAGAGCTTTTGGACTCACTCAGAGATTGCTTTCTCCGAGTGAGTCCAAAACCACTGAGGCAGGCTGGATAAGTGAGCATGGCGGGCTGGATCTGGCCCATGGGCCATAGTTTGAGGACCCATGATTTAGAAGGTGGAATCTGCATTTGGCAGAGGGTATTTGCATCTACTAAACCATGACACATCTTACATTCCCCCTAAAGAAGCTATATATTTATTTTGGGCTTGCACTGGTTGGCTGCACTTACTTCTGCAGCTAATTATTTATTTTTCTTTGCTTCGAAACAATAAGCCAGAGACACATTTGCACTAATGCCTTAATTTCTGAAACTTTCTGATAATTTCTGATAACGTGCTGTGCAAAGGCAATTTTAATGCATCAGCATCGCTTGAGTAACAATTGTTTGTTCCAACTAAAAGAGCACATCTTGAATGTTGGGGGCCTTGAGAATCCATTGACAGGTTTTCTTCTTGTCTGAAGCTATTAATTAAGTTACCAGTGATTTCTCCCGGATCTGGTGCATTGTCCTTAAGTTTAGGTCTAGCCTGGCGCCATTGCAGAAGGAGCTGAGCTATGGGGAAGGGTTTGTTTCCTGTTTGATGGAGGGTTCCTTCCCCTTTGCAGGAAATGTGGGGTGCCTTGAGCAGCAGTGCCATTGCAGCAGGTGAAATGCAGCTAAATGTTAGGTTGACTTGCCCTGTGAGAGCAAGATATGGGGAAAGAGAGCGGGTCATGGTGGGGTCATGGTAGAGCTTCAGCTTCACAGAGACATTGTGATAATTGCAAGTTTAGTTTAACACCAACAAAAGGTTCAAGAAAAAGGATGGAAGAAAAAGATGGGTTATTATTCTATTTAATATGCTACTTCAGGGACAGGTGAGGCCTGGCCCCCCAGATTGACTACAGATCCCATTGGTCCCAGCACTCAATAGTGAGGCATGATGGGGAATGTAGTGCAACATCACTCAGACATGTTACCTATCCCTGGACTAACTTATATCCAGCTTCCAAGATGGAAATTCTTCCAGAGTAGCTTAAAAGTGAAAGTGGATCACAAGACCAAGGCTGAGTTCAGACAACACAGTAGCTCTCAGTTGTGCCGAGGCACAACCACACCTTATATTCATCGCTGGTGATGACTAACAAATAGTTAGTGAAATGGATGCGCAGCTATTTTACTTATTTTATACCATTTTTCACCTTGCTTTAAAAGTATTTTTCCACCAGGGTGGTTCATAAAAAGGTAAAGTAAATCATTATCAAATTCTTCCAGATAGTCATGCAAAAATATATTGCCCAGTTCTGTAATTTCTGTAAATGATGGAGAATAATCTTTGCAAATCCATACACCCATGAAGCAAATGTTCTGCTCCAGGGAAGAAAGCCGCTAAATCAAAATCAGGAAGATGCCTTTTCTGTCTACCCTAGAAACTCTCTCTCTCTCTCTCTCTCTCCCCCTCCCTCTCTCTCTCCCCCCCCACCCGTGTGTGTGTGTGTGTGTGTGTGTGTGTGTGTGTGTTCTGCATGAGGTTCTGGATTTCTCAACACTGCATTCTTGGCATCCTCCCCCAACTACAATTCCCAGAATTCCAGCCATGAAGAAAGAGCCATGACCCCAAACTGCTCTAAGACTGATCAACATCCCCACTGGGGATCCTGAATGCCTTTCAGCTTGAGAGTTGAATTCTACTTCAGAGAAGCTCTTGCCGTCTGCATTCCTGGGTTGGGGGACAGAAGTACAGCAGTGGAACCCAAACTATCAGCATGTTTTGTTTTGATGTTTTAACGCCAGGTAACTAAGAACCTTTCTTACCTTTCCTATTGGGAAGAAACTGCACCAAAGCCAGGGAATCACTGGATTAGCGGAGGTCAGAGGATAAGCGGTCGGAGCCTCAGGAAAGGAATCTGTAACTGGGGTTAGACTGGGGCCTTGAGGGGTCTGGTGGACAGCTGGTGGCCACCATCTGCACCGAGTGCTGGCCTAGAAAGTCCTTTGATCTGATCTACATGGATTCTCATATGCTCTTACATGAGTGCATGGCTGAGGTTTCCCACCCTTACTGGAAATGTCCCCATTATCTGTCGATCAGCTGCATAGCTCCAGAAGGTTCAAATGACTTGCAAGCCAGAAACGTAAGGATTGCGTCCCCCCACCCACCCACTTTTCCCCCTATCTATAACTGAAAAGTTGTGGCCATCATACTTTGGGCACAACACGAGAAGGCAAAACGCCTTGAAGAAAACAATCAGGTTAGGGAAAGTCGAAGGCCGAAGAAGAAAAGGAAGGCCCAAACGAGATGGGTGGGCTCCATCCAGGAAGCCACAGCCCTGCATTTACACGAGCTGAACAGGGTTTTCATGAGTAGGACATTTTGGAGAGCTTCCGCTCAGAGGGTTGCCATAAGTCAGAGATGACTGGACAGCACATAACAACAAAAATATCAGCCGTAAAAGAAGCAAAACAACAGCTTGGTTAATGCGTCAATTTCAGTGAAATTACTTGGCAACTGTCATCAGAATGAATTGTTCGATTTGAGCATCAGCAGGAGCAGCGCCCGGGGATTCTGCATCCGCTGCACCACGGACACGCCCGGCTTCATTCCTGGCTTTCTTGGGGACCATTTCGTGGTACCAACTTCACCATGATCGGCTTCTCTGGTGTCAGAAGCAATAGAGGGCCCATCCTGAGGGGAATCTGCAGCAAAGTGGGAAAAGGAAGGCAAGGAACATTCACCAACCGGCTGACGCCCCTTGGATGGCCAGCCAGTGGCAGAAGAGGCTTTTAAGGTGTAGGCCCAGCTGGAGGGTGTCCTGCAGCTCGTGGAGCTAATCCAAGGCAGCCGAATCAAGGGATCCGATGCCAAGAGCCAGCCTCTCTGGACGGCATCTTCTCCTCTGGGCATCCCTGGCTTTAGCATGAGTGGAAGGGGTTCAGTGCTAAGGGCAATTCCGCATCCTTCCAGATTGCGGGGAGAAACTGCGAATGGGTTGCATCCAGAGCTGCTTGTTGCGTTTATCCCGACTGCTGCCCTGTAACTTGATTGGCGCCTTTTTCTTGCTCATTCCCCTTCCACTCGGCCTCTTCCACAGATAACACGTGCTCTTCCCAAATGAAAGCACAGTGACGGCATTTTATCCCTTTATCCTCATACTCCTGAACCAGCTCTGGGGAGGATATGCAGTTAGCCTTATTCAATGCCGTCTAAAAGCAGGAATGAGGTCATGAGAGTCCTACTTGAGCCTGATTGGATGCAGTTTTACGAATCGAATCGAATCGAATCGAGGAAGGGAGGGAGGGAGGGAGGGAGGAAGGAAGGATATTGTCACGATCCTACTGAATTTCCTGCACTTGCCACCGAGGAAAATGTTATCCAGCTTGTTCCTTTCCCTGACTTTCCTTTAAACTGCTGCAGCTTTTATATGCAGATCAAGTCCCCTTTCTCAGAAAACAGGGGCGCCTTACCCCACCACACAACACTTCCAACACACCTCCTCCTCTGCATGCACACCCTAAATCCAGCCATCTCACCTGAGTTTCTTTGCAGACTCGGAATGAGAAACGCTGCAAAAGGAGTGTGATCGCAACCTTGATGGTGACGAGAGCGAACCTCATCCCGATGCAGTTCCGGGGACCAGCGCCAAAGGGCAGGTATATGTATGGATCCCTGTTTTCTCTGTTCTCCTTGCTGAACCTGTTTCATTCAGAAGGGCAAGAGAAATGGAAGCTAGTCCAGATACCACACCCAGCAGAGACGATGCCTGGATGCGTGAGACTCAGACGGATGCCAGCAGCTCAGAACATTCACTGGCAAGCTTCTGCCAGGTTAAATAGGCAGCTGCCTATGGATTCACTCCATTTTATTTCGCTTAGTGGAAGTGTGCAGGGAGCCCAACTGGACTGGGAACGTGGCCTGCAGGTAGGGCCAACTCAGTGTCAACCGAATGCCAACTCAGGGGCTTTTTGTCCCAAAATTCACCCCAAAAGGAGGAAACATCCGATGGTGCCATGAGTTCCTCTGCCGTCAACTTCCCTGGGGAAAGTTGAAGGCAGAGGAAGGAAAGGAAGACCAAAGAAGAAATGGACAGACTCCATCAAGGAAGCCACAGGCTTGAGTGGACACGAGCTGAGCAGAGCTGCCAGGGCAGGACATCATGCCAGGCATGTCTTCATAGGTTCCCCGTAAGTCTGACACAACTTGTCGGCACGCAACAACTGCAATGCCATCCTAACTCCTACTGAAGGCCACAATCCGAGGGTTGTACTGTTTACCTCTCAGGTCTGAACTCCTTGGGCTCTGGCCAGTATTCCGGGTTCAAATGCAGGATGTAGACTGGGATCGTCACCAATGTTCCCTTTGGAATAGTCACCCCGTTCACTTGCACGCTTCTCTTGCAATCCCTTGTAAGCCGTGGTAAAACAGGATACATTCTCAGTGTTTCACTCAGGACCATGCCCAGGTACTCCAACTGCATGACGGCGTCGTACGTGGGGGGAGTCTTCCCGAGAATTAAAGGCAAGAGGTTATTAGGGCTGAATGCAAAATACAGCTTTCTCATTCTCAATTCAACGTTCTCCTCCTTCTCAACCTAAATACAACTTTCTGATTCTGCAGCCGAAAAGGAAAATCTGAGATGCCCACACAGCAACTGTTCTGGTAGACATCGTTTTTCTGAGATTGCTGCCAAAGGCCCTGAAGAATCTGGCTTGACATTTAAAATCCTCTCTTAAGTTAACAACCAATCATTTATCCGTAATATTTAACATAATAGCACAGACTGGCATTATTCCTCCAGATTTCTTGCTTGCAGTGCTGAGGAGAAAACACGTGTTTTAAATGAAGTAGAAATGTAAGGGCCAAAGTGAACGTGAGATGGGATATGCATCAGCAAGGATATTAGAGCATTGTTTTTATAATAATTATTGATAATATTGATAATAGTTCCAGTGTTTGCCTCCGGTTTGTGCTTCTGCTCCTCTCCACGCACACCTGCTATTCTGAAGGAAGTCCAGCATGCAAGCGGAAGGACCCGGTTTGTGGCTGCCGGACGAGGATTCTCCCTCCTCCCTGCTCAGGAACGGGCTCTTACCTGGCTGGGGAGGGCCGAATCGATCTCATCCTGAAGCTTCTGCTGGACTTCCAGATGTGTGGCTAAAACATAAGCCATGGAGCCCAGCACATTGCTGGTCGTCTCGTATCCAGCAAAAACGAAAACGAAGGCCTGGGCCACGATTTCTTCATCAGTTAAGCCTGTGGGCAGACCAAGGTGGGAGAACAGAAGCCCCAACTCTGCAGCACGTACAGCAGAAGCCGTCTTTGTCCTTCGTATAGTATGCAAGGATTTTTCGTACGATAAGCTAATGATCGGGTAGATCTTCCTGACTTGCTTGACATATTTAGAATACTGCCCATAAACTGCCAATTATTCCTTTTGGGCGGTGCAATTAGAATATCTGACGCCAAAAAAGCCCAAGACATAATTTTTTAAAAATCACCTTAGCCTCTCATTTTAATTTTTCCCTAATCTCTCGGAAAAAAAGAACTTCCTGGAGCAACAGATGGATTTTCTTCGCCGTGTTGATCAATGTTCGCATGTCATACGAATGAAATTATACATTTCACTCAGCAACTTCGATTTTTTGCAGATTCTGTCATCATGGATCAAAGACCCTTAAAATCATTCTCGCCAAGTCCTGACAAAGAACATTCCAGCTGCCTTGGATTGCTACAGATGGACCTGGATGTCCTGTGCTTTTCCCAGGATTTGGGCAATGGCTTGGAGGCCACCTGCAGCCAGCCCTGCCAAGTGCCAGAGCTAAAGTGTGCAACCCGTCGGTTTCTTGAAGAGAGACCTCTTCAGAGCATGAGCAGGATGCAAGCCACAGGATCTCTCTCCTCTGGTAGGCCCAGGGCAACCTGGCAAGTCTTGCAGCAGCGAAGTCTCTCCTTCCCTCCTACCCAAAGGCCATCGATGCTTCCAGACTCTTCCTTCCGTCCATCACTCACCAAAGCGATGCTTGTGGCAGATGGAAGGGGACAACAAGCATGTCCAGGGAGTGGCCACCTGGCTAAGGTAAGACCCTTTCCTCCAGGGCACGCATGTGAGAAGGGGTCTGTGTAGAGGGTCTTCTTGTGAAAAGACTTCCCTGACAATGCAGGAGAAGCAGTGCAAACTGCAGGGACAGCTGCCATGTGAACGCTAGGTTTTCCCTGGTTGCTTGCGGGTTATATTGAGTCATTCATGGGCTCAGGACAATGACGTAACAACAGACACGGCCACCATCTGACCCAAAACCAGTGTGACAGGGGCCATTCCAGTTTGGCGTCGGCTCTTCACATAAGCACGAACTACTTTCTCCAATCCAAGGGACCATTACTTCTATTTACGCACTTGCTAACAGAAGATGCCCGGCGACACGGCAAAGCGCATCATGCTCCAGTTCGGGACTACATTTTATTATTTATTTATTGGTTTAGCAAACTTACATGCCGCCCCATTTGCCTAAGCCTCGGGGCAGCTTACAAATAAATAAATAAATTTTAGAAGGTTTTTAGTTTGGTTTAATGCCAAGCGGGGATGCGGGGGGGGGGGGGGAGGCCTTGCATCCCCAGACATAGCTGCCTGCAGGCTCCACCTCGCCACCTACCTTTATATGAGTGATCCATCCCATTACTTATCTGGGCACTGCCAGAGTCTTGGGAATCTAGCATCAGCTGCAAGAAATCCACTCGGCTCTGGGAATCAAAGACATGGATTCGTGGAGAGAAAGAGAGGAGAGGAAAAACATCTTGGGACACCCATTGACTAGATGGTGGAAGATACATGATTCTTTCTCTCTGTGTGGGTGTGTAAAGGCTCAAAGCAGCTGCTGGGGTCCCAATTAACACTGAAACTGGGAATGGATGAGGTCAGGTTACCATGCAAAGTAACAGACTTCCCCATCAAGCTTCCGATTCACGCCAATGTGACCCTACAGTTCCAGCCTCCGAAGGCTGACAAAACAGCAACTCAGAAAGACCATCGTCTGCTTTTAGTGACACTGTCACACAATCACATCTGACTGGGCATGTGATGATGTCACTGTTCTTAAGGCAAAAGAAGACCTACTGGAAAACAAGAATGATGGAGCAAGAATACAGGCTGGTTAGACCCAGGAACCGACTGGATTGAAAACAGTCTGGTTTGGGGGATCTTTGGGGGAAGGCAGAATTTTTCCATGCCAGAAATGTTCCCCTCCAAACTCTGGCACAGCCTTGATGCTTACCCCGAGGCCTTCCTTCAGCCGTGCTTCCTTTATTTTTGCAAAGGTTCTTGCAAAGAAGTCTAAACCTTGCTGGGAGATGCCATCCACACCTAATGCCTGGAACAGTGGAATGAGGAATGGGAATACAGCTGCAAAGAAGAGAAACTCTCCGTGAAAAGGATGCAATGTCCGTGCAGTACAATGTAACATTCCACCCCGGTGGCTGTAGCTGCGCAAACCATACAGAAATGCTAACAAGGTGGAGCCTGAATGCTTGAATAGCCTGTTCGCTTCGTCCAATAGCCCAGAGCTACTAATCCACGCACTGAAAAGCTCAGGGTGATAAATACACACATGCAAATGTAGTCCTTGTGTAAGACGGTGTGTGCATTTTTGAACATTGCATCACTGCTTCATAACATAAGTGCATGGGTGAAGACACCTGTGTGGCATCCGCAGCTTTAATGATCTCTCTTGGGTGGCTTTTTATCCGTGGCCAAAAAACCAGGACTGAAAATGGACAGTGCTGTGTATAACATATGCATGTACTAATTTTTACATGCATGCGGCCCGTTTCTACTTGAAATAATAACACAGCACATTTTGGCACCTGAGCACATGACCTGCATGCCCGCCTGTGAGCATCTGTGGGGATTTCGGAAATCAGAAAGAAACATACACGTCAGAACGATGCGTGGAGTAAAAGGTTTAGCCTGGATTAGATTCCTGAAGGTCTTGAAGAAAGGGTCGTTGGGGTTGTTCATGGAGTCTGTGTTCACACCAAAAGAGGTACTGGTGATGACATCCATGCTGTATGGGCCGAAGATGCTGGTGGGGGAAAGAGAAAGTGCGAATGAGGCACTGAAAGCTCTCGCATAGCTGATACCAGAAGAAGCAGGAAAGCAGAGCCATGCAGCTTTCTGGTTGGGCCTCTGAAGCAGGGAGCTCATCTGCTCCCCTTCCCTGCGTATTTCTAACTGAACATTGTTTTCTGAAATCATACATGCTTCTTTCCCTTGCTCCTATGTCCTCTTTTACCAATTGAACTGTTCTTAGGAGACAAGATCCTATGCAGGGACACAGAGAGACTTCAGAGTGTGGTTGAAAAGCGGGTGACTTACTTACTCAGAGTGTGTTTGAAAAGGGGGTGACTTCCCCGTGACTTACTTACCCTTTCACATCCACAGGTTCTCCCATTTCCACTTTCTTCTGAACATTTTTCATCAGAGTCTCTCCATAATGTTTTATGATCGGAAACATCTGAAAGAGAAGCCAGAGGCACCCTTTTAAACATCTGTGTGGAGTTGGGGGTTCCTTCCTAGCTGCAGTGGACTTCTAAAATAACAATGTAAAGCTAGGCTTTTTGAATATCCTCTTTGATGTATGGGTATTTCAGAGAGGATCTGGGTAGAAAACTCCTGGGGTGCCCCCACAGGTCTGGAAGTGTGGAATGCACTTTTCTTGAGTAGAAAAAGTGAGCTGCCAAGAAAACTCCCTGTTAAGGTGGCATTTTGGAAATCCATCTTGAAGCATGGGTATTTCAGCCCCGTATTATGACTAGGGTTGCACTCTAGGTTAGGGTTCAGGTTAACAAAACCTGAGTAGAGGCTCGCAATGAGCTTAGATTGGGAAGAAAGGACGAGCTGTGAAAAACAAGCAGACTGCTGCCATCTCAGAAATCCATCAACAGGAATGGGTATTTCAGCCCCATTAGGGTTACGGTTAGCGTTAAAGTCCAGTTTAGGCTTAGGGTTAGAATAACTGGGCTCTGCTCACATTGCAGGGATGTTTCCAGATGAGGTGTCGAGTATTTAATCTCACCGCCACTTTTACAGAATTTTGCATGAGGTCCAGGTCATGTCATCTTCAATGTGTAGCACTTCTTTGCTTTCCCAACGTTTCTTCTGTCATTTTTAAAATGCCTTTCTGTTGTTCAAACTAGGAACTCTCTACCTGGAACCACCCCAAGATAGTGCTTGACAACCGCTGCGTGTGTTTTGTTTCACATAAATTTGGTTGCATCTCGGACCAACCCATCTCACAGGGTTGTAGTAAGGATAAAATGGAGTAATATAAGCCACCTCGGATTCTCTCAGGAGGAAAGAGAGAGATGAATATATGGTGATAACAGTAATGATAATGATGATAATAATAATGAGAGACCAACTCATCAAGCAGGTGGAATTTGCAGCTGTAACAGTACTACCAGCCTTCAGAAGGCCTCTGCACATTGCTAAGACAACAGCTCTTCAGAGTGAGTTCCAGATGGTGCTCTTTCCAAGATCCTACCAACCCTCCCTCCGCACAGATCATGAGCTGATGTTCAGCCATGAGAAGCCATTGCATCAGCAAGGTGCAGAGAACCTCTGCAGCCCGGCCTGGCCTGGCTGGATGAGACTTGCTTGTGCCAGATGCAGTGCAGTCTTTCCAGGCATTGCTGACTCCCCTGGAAGCACCTGCTGGGTTAGACAGGACAAAGTCCGGATTAGAATAGGCCTTTACCTCCTTTAGCTTCCCACTGGTGAAGACGGGAGACAGCAAAGTGCGGATCCTCCTCCATTGTTCATCCATTGCTCTGGAGAGTATGGACTTCAATATTCCTTTAGTGAACAATTTCTAAAGATGATCAAGTAAGATACACGTCAGTATGTCAAGAATGTCTGGCCAGAGTCCTGTGAATGCATAGAGTAGGTTATCATCCTGCTTGGCTTTGGGAGATGAAGTCATCCACCTGCCTAGCATCCAGTGACAGCACAGCTGTAGCCCCACCATACGTCTCACCAGCTTTGGGTGACACAAGACCTTTTACACCACAAGAAGTAGGCAAATTGTGTGTGACTGGGACACGGGAGGCAAGGAGGGAAACTTGATGGCTTCCCCCACATGTCCCCACGATCCCCTGAATCCCACAGCTGCCTGAACCCAGGAGGAGTGCTTCCTGAATCGCGCTACTGGGTGAAGAGAACATGCAGTCTGCGAATCCATTCCCTGACCTCTGTCTGATGGGGTGGCATGCAAGACATCCCTCTTCCGCCCCGTCAGGTTGCAGCCTGAGAACGGGATGCTCACCTGCCGGTTGGTGAACACGGTGTAGCACTCCTTCACCAGGACAGTTTTGATTATGGTGGGGTCCAGGACAGCCAGCAGGGGCTGCCGGCCATTGTAAATCCTGCAGAAGGAGCAAAGGCTCATAGTACTGCCTCTACAGAAAGTGTGATCTCCATGGGGGTCTCCTGCGAGCTGAGACAAAATCCCTCCAACACCACGTAGCTGTCAGCTGAGTGCGTTCAGCCTGGGGAAAGCCCGTGGGGTGCCATTGCGGTGGCAGGTGGGCCAAAGGCCAGAGGAGGGGGCCAAAAAGACCCCAAGGTGTGGCGTATTTCCTCCTCGAACCACCAGGAATTGAACCCTAGGAGAGGCGATGCAATTTTCCAGAACGAGGGAAGAAGCTGCAACAGCTGGGAAAGAATCAGTCAGGGAAAGGGGGCACAGCTCTCTGAGGAACCCTCAGGAACGCTCAGTGGAGTCCTTCTCGCCCCAATCCCCGAAATGGGAATATAGCGACTGCCCAAACTCAGCTGGGATGGTTGCAGAGATGGCATACGGTGATCTACCCAGAGCAATCCAAGCGCAGATTCGGTTCTGTTTGCTAGTTTTGACACCTCCTCCTCCTCGGGGTGTATTTAGAGGAACAGTGGGACTTGGGCCGTGCTGAGAAATACAAGGTCACAAGGAAAGATGACTCACCCCCAGACTTTCCCATATTTGTCGAAGCACTTTCTATCAAACGTGATGATACCCTAGGGGAGAGAGAGAATCACACTAAGACTTGGGCCGGATTATGAGATACACCTCTTTGGAGCGCACAGAGGGGGCAGCACGTGCTTCCGGCACTTACGTTGCGGTATTCCCAGAGGTTTCCAAGGAAAGGCAGTGGCGTTGGGCCTGGAATGCCCAGATTCCTGAAAAGCCTGAATGGCCAAATTCCATACCTGTGCATTTTGAAGAAAGAGAAGGGGAGGGAAGCAGGAAGTTGGCATCCACTAAAGGACTGCGGCAGCCTGAGGAGCGGAAGCTTGATCACGCCTAGTGCCACAGGACAAAGGCATCACCAATTGTGTGATGCTCACAGGGGCAACTTTCTCTGCATGGAGACGCAGTGGGAAATCACTGCTTTGCCCTGGACTGCCAGCAGGTGCTTGCTATTCAGGCCGCCATCCAGGCCACTGCAAGGCCCCCGTTCTGCTCTCCTTCCTGATAGTTCCTGGCTTGGATCGGCCGAGGATGCCTTCAGACATGGGGGCACCATTGCTCACGGCTGGGGCACGTGCTTTGCACGCTGCATCCCAGTATCCATGGAGTGGAGGTGCTCAGCCCCTGAAGGCCATCTCTGCAGACCCCCAAAAGCTGCCCGGACCTCCCCACTGCCTCTGAATTTCTCACTCTCTTCAGATACCTCTGCTCTTCTCCTCAAGAGAACCTAATTCAGCTCACACGTTCCCTGATCCAGAGAGTCGAGAAGGACGCATCCCTCAGGACCAGGAAGGCTGGGCTCCTCTGTAGCACAGGGCAGGCTGCCAACCCCGCTCTCCACAACGGGATGCACAACACGGAGGCCTGGATCTCCACCGGCTGATTTCCCCCCTCCAGCTGCAGCTCCCCCCGCGCTTCTATTTCTCCTGCATAAACAAGCACGCTTGTGTGCCAGTCCCCCTTCTGGAGCAGCCTTTGGCAAAGGACAAACTTGGCACAATAAAGAGCTGGGGCTAAGCAGAAAACGGGCTTCCATTCCTTCACAATTCAGAGGGAATCTCCCTCCCTCCCTTCCTACACAACGTTGATGGTGCAGAAGCCACCTCTTCTAGGCCTCTAGCCACAACAATTTTTAAAAGATGACCCCAGTAGACAATCGGAGAGGTTTTGCTTTGTTTCTACCCAGCCTAGGACATTTAGTTCCCACCACAAGGTGATCAAACCAGTCAGTCCTAGAGGAGATCAACCCTGACTGCTCCGTAGAAGGCCAGAAATTGAAGATGAAACTCAAATACTTTGGCCACCTGATGAGAAGGAAGGACTCCCTGGAGAAGAGCCTAATGCTGGGAATAGATGGCAAAAGAAGGAGGGGACGGCAGAGGACGAGGTGGCTGGATGGGGTCACTGAGGCAGTTGGTGTGAGCTTAGGTGGAGTCCGGGAGACGGTGGCAGACAGGAAGGGTCGGACATGACTTTGCAGCTAACAACAACAACAGAAGAAAAGGCCACACAGCCAACTTCTCTCATACCAGCTCGACTTACCTGTGACCCGCCGGAGCACTTTAGCTCTCGGATGGTGTGGCAAAGCCAAGCAACCGTCGTGTCTCCCATTCCCATCCCTCCCCCAACAGTTTTCCAGCCCTTGCAAGAGTTCAGAGCACTTCAAACGCATTATCGGATTATCTTCACGATAACCCTGGAAAGGGTGAGATGGGCTCTTTGCCCAAGACCCACCATCTGCTGAGTTCATGGCAGGGATAAGATTTGAACCCAGGACTTGCATTGGACTGGATCCGATGGCCTTCATGGCCTCATCCACTAGGATTCCTGATCTCTTGGCCAGGTGTGATGGGACCCACAGTCCAACACCTGGAAGCCTTCTGGCTGGAGAATCCTGCCCTGATGTATCCCTGTTTCTGTGAGAAAACCATGCAAAAAGGAAGGAGATCAGACAAGACAAAGAATACATACAATATGACAAGTCCCAGAAGGGCCACGAGAAGTGACCAGGTCCCCACGGAGAAGCTAGGAAGGAGTTCCATCCCGGCTCTTCTCTGGGTGCTGCTTCCTCCGTTCACCCCAGTCCAGTGGGTTCGGGGGCATCAGTTCTCTCTTACACTTGACCAGCACTGGAGTAGAGGGCAAGAATTACGCAACTCCTCTGATAATGATGTTGTTTTTGCTCCTCTAAGTAGAAAGCTTTGCTTTGGTTTAGCTAATAGAAAAGCTTTTGTTTGGCTAATGGCAAGGTGTCGGGGACAAAGCTCACTGTGGTGAAACGGGCCGGTCTGGGGAACACAGAATGCTCTGCTTGCCCTCTCGTGAAAGAGCTTTCCCCTTGCTCAGTTTCATGAGCAGGTAAATCATCGACAGGTTTGCATTTTCCCCACCAGCACAAAATGCAAACAGGCCCGGAGGTTTCTGCATGGCCTGCTGCTCTGCTCATTTCTGCAAGATGTACCAATTTCCAGAGGAAAAAAGGGCAAAGAGCTGAGCTTCATCCTGCACAGATTCTGGAAGCAGGACCTTCTGGCACGTGGCAGGGAAAAGTCTCCTGGAGCAAAGTCCCCACTCTATGCAGGGTTATAAGAAGGCCGTTTGGCCTTCCTATCAACCCACATGAACCGAGACATCCCCCCGCAACCCCCATTTTGCAAGGGTGCTTTCACACGGACAGGGCCCCGCTGGGCAGAAGGTTCCCTGGAAGCAGCACATCTCGCAAAACATGTGAGCCGTGTGAAGCAATTCATACAAGGGAGCCAGTGTGGCCTAGTGGTTAGAGCATCGGACCGGGGCTCATGAGATCTGGGTTCTTGTCCCTGCTCTTGGTACTGCTTGCTTTAATAATTTGGGTATATACCAATATGAGGAGGCATCTGTGGATTCTGGGTTGGGATTCCTCACTCCCAGAACCCACCCTGGGCTGCACCTGCTGCTACCGAACCACCAACTTCACTGCCAAAATTGTGTGGACCAGCAACAATCAAAATAAAAGGAAAATGTGCCACAAAACGAGGCGTTGAGGGAGTTCTTTCCTGGTTTGCTCTCCCAGGAGATTGTCAAGGCGCCACTTGCCATTGGCTTTGTTCTGCGGCAAAACCACTTTGCTTTTTCCCAGCGCCGTGGGCAATTCAACGGCGTGTGGGGGCAAAAGCTGCAGGAGGGCTGTGTGTGACCCCACCCTTGGTCTGGGGCAAGCATCAGGACATTAGTCTGGGGTCTAAAGTTATCTAACCGCACCACCGATTCTTGTTATGCAGTGTCCAAAATTTGAGCAACGTCCTGTCTGACATTGATGGGGTGAGGAACGGGGAGCCGCTGTTGATGGATGGATGGATAGATGGATGGAATCGCTGACTTTAGCGAGCCTTGTGATTTAAAGCAGGTGACCTTATCCAACAGGAGGTTTTCATGCTCCTCACCTTCTCCCAGCCTTCGCTGTGACCTTCAGGTACCAATCAATCAGGGGATTAGTGAGGAATAACAATGATCTTCTCCGCGAAGCTGTCACTGAAGTTGATGGCAAAGGTTAGATCACTTCTGGATCCGAGCGTCTTCTGTCCCTGAAAAGCCAGCAGGGAAACTGAGGAAGGGGCCGTAGCTCAGCGGCAGGGTGCCGAGGTCCCAGGTTTGGTCTGAGGTATTTCTCCTTTTAAAAAGGGATCCACTTGGAAGGGATGGGGAAAAATTGCTGCCAGAAGTTCTTCAGAGCTGCTCTCCATCAGAGTAAGAACACTGGGCTGGAGAGGGTGCTGTATCCACTCTGGCTGGGTTCACACGTCACGACAAGCAACCCCGGTTTCTGGCGTGTGCATTGTTTTGCCTGAACGAGACTGCCGGAGGATCAAGCAGTTTCTGTGCTAGTCTGGTTCCCACCCTCCTTGCTCAGTCCTCCTGCACCCCATCGACCTTCATGCCTGGAGGGCTGGATGCAGCTGCCGCTCTTTCCAGCGGGCTCAGCGGTAGCTGCACCCCAGGGCTGTGGAAACCACAGTGCTGAGTTCAGACAGCTGGAGAAGCCCACGTGGAAACCATTGTGGCTTATTTCTAAATCACCAAACCTACCATGCTGAAATAGCACAACAGGGTTCGGATGAAAGAACAAAGCGACCTGCACAATTTGCCGCCGTGGCTTGCCGTGCCACGTACTTCAGCCTGGAGTTGGACGGGATTCTCCATGGTGCTGGGCCTATTTGGGGTATTTGCATATGAGCTTCAGGCATGGACTGCAGATCATTATGCAGTGATAACTGAGAGATGAGCCAGCCAGCTCTGTCGTGTCTTTCCAGGACAGGAGACCCAAGATCGTTCTTACTTGTGCCTTTTCATGTTGAAAAAGCAGCCATGGCAAAGGGCGACAATCAGACCTAGGACACGGTATTATGGGTGGATTTAAAACACCAAGCAAAGCACACCTTTATTCTATATCGCCATCTTGATTAAAATCCCCCAAGCCAACATTGCAATATGGCTTGAGAAGGCAAGTCCTTTTGGCACTATTAGTGTTGCAGGGGGCAGCTGAAGTAGTGGAGCCATTGATGAATCATGAAGCCCCCCCCCCTCCAAAAAAGAACAAGCAGTCTGGACACTGAGGGCAGAAGAGGAGACCAATTTGCGTAAATGTTGCACGTGCCGATTTATATGCCAGGGTGCAGCTTCAGCCACCATTAAAATTCAAATAGAGCATTTCATCATAGAATCAAAAAATGACCAGGTGTTCTTTGCACCCAGCGGAGGGTTTTTTAAAGAGTAGCAGCTTCAAGGAGCTTTCGAAATTCTGCCTGATGGATCCTTTACCTGGACTCGACCTGGACAGACCTTCATAGAGGGACCACCTTCAAAATGGAGAACACTTTCCTGGCAGCCTGCAAACGGAGGACTGTCCTCTGGAAACCGCACACGGCCTCTGCATTGCCAGGCAAGATGGGACGCTGACCATACCATCTTCTTTCCCAAAGTGTCCCATCGCTTGTGATTTCAATAATTCCCACGAAAAGCAATTAATTCAGCTGGATTCTAATGCCCAGACGCCGAGCCTTTCTACAACCTTCACTGCATGTTTTTGCAGCAGATAAAGTCCATAACCCTGAAATCTGCAAGCGTCTTTCGTCTTATTCTTTCCTCCTCCTTGCACTCCCCCTTTTCTTTTCTGAGCCATGTAGCGTCTCGAGCCGATTCTTTACCCTAAGGAAGCACATTTTGCTGACTGATCCAGCACAAGGGACTCTATCAAAGTCATTCGTGTAAGCCGCAAAGTTTTAAGAGCTAACAAAAGAAAAGTATTTCCGTGAGTCCTCCTTCCTAACCCGCTGCTGCTAGTGCAATCATGTTCAACACATGACACCCAATGTGGGCTCACCCATGTGAGGTCAGCGTGGGTTTTGCACAATCCAAGCCTCGGAGAAACTTGTTGTGTCAAGAGATGAAGCTGTCGAGAGCCAGGTTTCCTTCCTTTGCACCTTCAAAGCTGCAGACCTTTCTTGCAAAATGTTCTTCCAAGCAGCCCCTGGGAATAAGCAAATGTAATTGTCTTGGAATGGGGAATTTTCTCAGAAACAGACGAGGTGGGTACAGCTCCCGGCCTCATGATGTGATGTTGTCAGAGGAAGGTGGCCCAATTAGCATTTTCCAGGAGCACAACCACCTAGAAGGAATCTCTGGGCATGTGCAGAGTGTTTTGTTGAACCCCACCTGGTATTTACTTCCAGCAGTTCTCCTTATGTGTATGTTTGGAATGGCTGTTTGCTGCGTGCCGATCCTCTAACTGGACTTCCTTCCTCTGCCGACAGTCACATCACAGGCTGGCGCTGTGCCCGCCTCATTTGTTTCCGAGGAACTTCCCCATTGCAAGACGTTCCCAGAAGCTGCTTGGAACAATGGCCCTTTTTGCTCCCAAAAGAAGGCAAGAGGATTCCAGCAAATGGGCACAGGCCAGCATGGAATAGTCCTGGCCAAGTGTGGGGCCACGATCCACGCACGGGAGGCCCGAGTGGCATTTCATGGGACAGAGGAAAGCCTGGCAGAGAGACCAGTTTAACTGGTGCCGATCGGCAGGGACACTGTGAGTCCTGGGAAGCTGCTTTTTCCAGAGCAAAGCCATGGCGGTTCCACCTGCCCCACAGCGGATGTCGAAGGGTTCCGGGAGGGCTGCGGTTCTGTGGGCGAAGCACCTGCCTTGCACGCAGCAGGTCTCAGGGTTAAGCGTTGGCTTCCACTGGGAGGGAAAGCCACTGCTGCCAGTCCACGTCGGCAGCACTGGGCTAGATGGACTCATGTTTGGACTCCATAGAAAACAGCTTCCCGTGTTCTTATTCCTTTTGAACCCTTCCTGGAGAGGCTGGAGTGGCAGGGGCAGGACCCTGGCTCTGTCCGCAGGCAGGCCTTCCATAAACTATGGTTCCTCTAAGCAAAGCTCTTCTCCTACTTATAAACAGGGATAGAGGCACGGCTTAACCCACAATATTCAAACAGATCGTGCCTCACTGCAGGGCTGGAGAAACGGGGGGCTGCAGCTGGGAAGGATGACCCCAGATGTCTCATCTCCCTAGAAACTTACAAGCAACAACACCTGTTGTACGCGCTCAGATTTCGGGGTTCCAAGCATCGTGCTTCAGCATCCCACGGTTGTGAATGAATGCTGCCCCCTGCTGGCAGAAGGGGACCCATCAAGTCGCCACTTCACTGGGGCAGGGGAAAATTAGTCTGAAACACGCTTCAAGGCAAGCAACAGCATCTCTCCTGCACAGCCGTAAAAGATGCCGGTGTTTCGGTGCTGATAGCTGCAGAAATATCCCTTCCACCGCACTGTGTAATTTGCCCAGTAGCGATGAATCCGTTCCGTGGAATTTCTCAATTATTGGCATGATTTTAAAAATTCATACGCTGCAGAGAAGCTGCAGAATTACTATGTTACTCAAGACCCGGAAATGCAGCCTTTGGTGCAGTAAATGCATTGCAGTCCATCTTGGGCAAGAAGAGAGTTGCAGTTGTAAAGCAAACGCTCGGCACCTGGGAAGGAACATTTCGCACAAACCGCACCGGGCGGTGTAATGAGAGGGTGCCCACCAAGGCAAGCTGCACAAAGCTGCTCCTGCCACAGCAAAAAAAAAAACAAAAAAAAGCACTGAAGTTTCCTTGGAAAAAGGCAATGCCAACTATTCAAACAGTTCCTGAGAAAGATGCAGACATGATACTTATTTCGTATTTCTGGGAGCGACACGTCATACCGGTCTGGGGACCTGGAAATCTGCACTCTGGTCCAGCGCTGTGTTGTTGTTGTTTTGTTGTTGTTGTTG